ACTTTCGCTTCCACATATGTCTGAAACCGTCTCCAGATGTGAGGGGCCCTCTGTGTGCAGAGACAGGGCTGCCTCCTCAGGCAGCGTCTCTGGGACCCAGGCACATGGCTAGGAGGCCTGGGCGCCCTGACTGGAGCGCCTTTTCTCTCTTCCAGTTGGACAAAGGCCCCGAGACCCGGCAAGGCGAGGATTCCAGTGAACTCAAGGCACAGCATGAGATGTTTCCAGGCCGACGAAACGCACTCCTAACCACTGAACTCTGAGGCTTGAAGGGCACCCACGCACCCTGCTCAGCTCTCATGGTCAAGTCTAAACAAGACATCGCTGACCCCAAATGCCAGCCTTAGCTCAGGGTAGAGAATGTGCCCTGGAAATTCCCCAAGCAAAGCAAATTTACCAAGTCCCTCCCCTGCTACGAACACTTCCATGGCTTTCCATTGCCCTTAGAATAGTGTCCAGTCCCCCTGTGTGGCCTGAAATCCCGCCCACCCAATCTGGCCCCGACCTCGTCTCCCACACTCCACCCCCCCACCCTGGCTCAGTCCCCATGCTGGACTTCCCGCTGCTCCTCAGGCACCAAGCTCAGTCCCACCCCAGAGCCCCGGTGCCTGCATCCCCACTGCTGGGTGCACCCTTTCTTCTGACTTCAGGCTGTTCTCACTCACCATCCAGGTCTCAGCCTGCACAGCCCTTCCTCGGAGGCCATGCCTGGTTCCCTCAGAGCAAGCCAGGGCCCTCTTTAGAAATGACTAGCTACTGAATTTTCTTAGGATTTGGTCATTGCCTCTATTCTTCCACTGGATACATGCTTCCTGAAGTAAGAGATCACAGCTCTCTCCCAAGGGAACAGAGTTAGGAATGTGGGTTCATATCCTGATGCCCAGCTGTGTGACCTTGGGCAAGTTACTAAACCTCTCTGTGCCTCAGTTCCCTCACCTGTAAAATAGGGATAAAAATAGCACCTCCCCCGTGGGGTATTGAGGGTTGAGAACAGCGCCTGGTGCTGCAGGGCTGGCTCTGTCACCACTACCGATACCTGCTCATCGCTGAGGGATTAGGCAGTCTGTCTTGAACCGATATTTAAAGGCAAAGCTGGCTTTTCAGACCCACCAACGCTCAGAACCCTCCGTCTGAGAGTTCTGGAGTCTTTTTCTCCCCACTGCTTTAGTGGAGGAGGCCCTCTTCATCTCACAGCAAATTGAAACCAGTTTTCTAGCAAGCAGAGCCTTTCTTGGTCAAGCCCGTGTCAGCCAACTGAGAGCTAAGCTGTCTGAGGCCTGCAGAGGCTAAGAGACTTACCCACAGTCACACAGCTTAAAAAATGCCACAGCGAAAGAGAGGTACAGTTCTGAGTTAAAATCTTGGAACATTTTAAAAATCAATGTAAAAGTATAGTTGAAAACTTCTTTGCAGTACAGCATGGAAACATGGACCTTTGTACCACGAAAGTATGTATGTTAGCATTAAAACTAAAGCATGGAAGCGTGTACATTTTTACATCTGGGCGCAGAGCACCCAGGGTGCCAGGCCAGCTCTCACCCCAGTCTGGGCACTGACTGCACGCTTCTTTGGCAGCTCAAGTCAGAGGCCAAAGGCCTGGCCTTTGCGGGGGATCTCGTGACGAGGAGGTACACTCAGGCTGGCATCCCTGGGCCGGCCCAGGCCTCGGCCAGCACCAAGTCACGTGGGCAGGGGCGGCTCTGGGCCTCTGGTGCTGGGGAGGGGTGGGGGGCTGGCGGACTGCTTCCCAGCCCCACTCCTGCCCCGGCGCTGCACACCCTCCCTGGGCCTCCCCACTACAGCTGCAAAGTGAGGAAGAGGAGGGAGGGAGAAATGAGGCCAGCAGGGCAGGAGGGGCTGGCAGACTTAGAAAACACATGGACCAATTTTCTCCCCATCTCTCTCCCTCCCCGGAACTCCTGTTCCAGCTGATGGAACAGCAGGGAGGGTGGAAAACACACCCCCAAAGGTCCCTGCCCGGCGCCAGGGGTGAGGGCTGAGGGCCTCCTGCCTGGGCCCTGTGAAGGAGTCCCCACTGATCCCCCTGATTCTGGGAGGGCCTGGGGGCAGCAGTGAGTGGCCTATTTCCTTTGGGGGGATGGGCTTCCACAGGAGTGGGGACAGGACCCTTCCGCGCAAGTGCCTCTGCCCCACGCCAGCTCCCAGAGACGGAGGAGGGCGGGTGGAGGCAAGAAGGCAGAATCTGGGCTTGTGCGGAGGGGCTTCCCACCGCTGGGGGGGCCTGGTGTGGACGCCCAGGTGCGGGCAGTGGTCAGTGAAGCGTCCACCTTGGGTGGGCACTGAGGGGAACCGGCTGGAGACAGTGTGAAATCCTGGCTTGGTGGGTTCTTCCAGGTGGAAGAAACGGAGACCCGTCCGGGTGCTCTTCAAGGACCCCACCCCCCGGGCTGCAGCTCCAGTGGTCGGAACCAGGCCCAGAAAGACAGAGCAGGGCCAAGTGGTGCAGAGTGCCAGCTCCAGGCCCAGGTGTCACAGGTTCAAATCCCAGCTCCACCACGTTCTGGGTGGGCAAGCACTTCGACCCTTTAGTGCCTCAGCTTCCTCATCTGTAAAATAGGGACGGCGACTAGACCTACGTCACAGGGTGGGATGTGAGGTGCCTGCCGGGTCAGGGCCCCAGTACAAGCCGTGACAACCATTATTCTAGAAGGGCCGCTTCAGCCTGCACCCCCGGGTGCAGGTGCCGCCCTGGAAACCCTCAGGTGTGCACACGCGTGTGCGCACGACTTGCCTACATTGCCTGCTCCACACAAAGCCCTCCCAGGGCCAAGATCAACACGCCGGGGTTGCTGAATGACTCACCACCCCTGGCTGGGACGCATTTCCTGGAACAAGTCACTGCAGGTAGGGCTGGGGGGCCCCGAGTCTGGTAGAGATGAGAGGATGCAAGTCCCCACATGCCCGGCCACACCCTGATGGGATCCTGCAACAGGAGTGGGCGGCGGACCCCATTTCACAGCCCCACGGGCCTGAGTTCCAACCCCGGTGCTGACCTTGGATTCGCGACTCTCCCCCTCCAAGCCTTGGCCTCTGCCACTAAATGAGGACACTAGTGCCAACCACAAAGGGACAATTGTGCAGGCTATAGAAAAAGACTGTAAAGAACAGAGACCAAGGACCCAGCAGACCCCACTGTTAGGATTCCTGCT